GACTCAATAGAATATGAGTGAACTGCAGTTCCGAATTGGCTAATACACACACAAATACACTCGAGCAAAACGCTATGAAAATAATTAACAAAACCACTCTATATAGATCTTGGTAGTTAAATTTATTTTGCTTAATTTAATCCATATAAGAGGTAAGAAAAAGCCTGATAGTCTTTTTGGCCTAGGGATAACGTTTGACTTTTACAAGAATGACACTCATCTCTGATGATTTCCATCATATAATGGACGAAAGCTCAGCAAATTTTTACTCGAAACGAGGGACGAGGTCTCGTGGACTGCGTCAACATGAATATCGTATAAAAACCAAACGGCTGCAGTACAACGAGGTTCATCTGTCCTCATCTGGTAAGATCGACTAACGAATCCCTTCTTCGTGCACTTTTATACGAAACGAAGGTTCTCCAAAGAATTTATCTCACTAGATTTACCGAAGACAAGTTTTTCTCCTTAACTAATTTTTATTGTAGGATCTCATGTGAGTCCAGTGTAAAATATTTGCTGTTTCTATCCTTTTGTGTTATTACCTGGATCTAAATTGTTATTATTTTTTTCTTTTTTAAATATTACTTAACATGATTTAGTATCTATTATATTTATATGCTATAGTATTATAATAATTGCTTTTGTTATTTAAAACGACCAGGTGATTTCGTTGAGGTTATCCTTCACAGAAGCGCGTCTTTGGTATATTTTCTCAAAATGCCCTACATCTTTAAGTTTTATTACCATCAACCAGATCGTTTACCCTCTCTTCAAGTTCGTAGATACTCCTCTTATGATTCAAGTTTTGATAACCTGGTGCAAAAGGTTAAATCCATTTTCAAAATAAAAAAACCGACCATGCGCTGGTATGGTAAGTATATTTGTGAAGCTACTTGGGATAATTCTATCATTTATTCTTTATTTTTTAATTGGGAATGTTTTTGTTAAATCTTTTGAGCATCCAATAGTAATGCGATTTCCATTAATTTCATCCGGCTTGTTTATTTATGGCTGACCATATCCCTCGTTACATTCATCTTAGATGGAGAAGATTACGTCACCATTTCATCTGATCATGAACTTTGGGAGGCAATAGTCTTCTTTGAGAAGAAATTTAAAACAGGCGGCGAAGACTTACCGGTACCCATATATATATCATCCGAAGACTCATTTTACACTTCAATTATTCCAGTTTCACCGGTCATTTCTGGCACTCCTAGTGCCGACCCCTCTTCTCTTAAAGCTTCTCTCTTGTGCCAGTTCGATCCACGATTGATTGTCAAGGTAGAAAATGATATGTGTAAGCAATTTTTTACCGGTCAGAAAATGGAATGATCCCATCCCAGATTGGGAATCTGTTGAAGCTAATGGCGATGGGCACTCAGAATCAGCTCGTGCTCCTCAAACTTCACGTGGTCAATCTTTTCTTAATTGTGTGCTGGACGAAGTCAATGATAATCTTGCTACACTAACTGATCGATGTTTGTGTGACAATTAATCATGCTCATCAGATTTATCGACATTTTTAAGGGCTCGTTTTACATTTACATTGTTATTGATGTTCTGTTTGTCATTATTTTCGAATCTATCAAGTAATATTTTACCTATCATTTTTCATGACTTTTATTCACTTCAGATGTGAATCGTTCCGTATATTTCTATTCATCCTTGTCATATAAACATTTTGGTTTTTTCGTTTATACAAACCGTTGGTAATAAAGACTTTAAATGTGTCTCCTAGTCCTTATGGCCAGCGAAAGTCTAATCAGTCTGCTGTACCTAGGGATACTTTCTTACCATAGCTACTTTACTCAAGAATATTTGATCCAGGGGAACCCTCAAGGCATGCTTTGCATCTTAACTTGACTTGTTTCAGATCTTCCACTGGACGAAATTCTCGATAGTTATGAGAAACTGGATTCAGAATAACTCTTAATACATGTACTTTTCGTTTCCTTTAAAAAGGTGAGTGTCGTAGTGCCTTGTCTTAGTGTTTGGCTTTACGCTCTGACGATTTCTATCATGTTAGAATACATTAAATTCCACCATTGATTTTCGAGGTCGAAGGAAGGTGCATCAAGGTCTTGTTTACACAAATCTCATCATACT